GTAAGACTATTGCTTACCAGTTAACCTTTTACATCCCTAATAAAGAGGAGCAAACGCTTATGGCATGGTTGATAGAAACTATTGTTTGGTTGATAGAAAATGCCACCATGCAAAGGGTTAATTTTGCCACAACATTCTGTGCTGCTTCCAAAGTGGCTGTGCTCTGTGGCTGGTTCACTAATTCCTGCTGATGGTGACCCGGGAGAGCAGAGAGCCTCCTGGGTAATTAGCCTGGAAAACAGGATAAGCTATTTAAAGGGACAGGATCTAGTGGTTTAAGTCCAACATGTAGCTTTGGTAAAAATAAATAAATTAAATCAAATCCTGGCATTTTCCTGTTTACAGTGTAATGAAAACAGTGTTCTTGGTTTGGATATAACCCTTCCCCTGCCAGTTTGTTGGCATTGTGGGGCTGGGCTGTGGCATGAGAACCTGTGTGTGAAACTGACTTGAACAAAAGCGAAGCTGACTAGTTTATTTTTATTGTTCCCAGGGAGGGACATGTATAAAGAAAACAAACAGCATCCCTGGTGGGAAGCTAAATGAGGGTTGGGTTCAACAACCCAGGAAGGTGCTAGCAGTGTGGGGCAGGGCTGGTTTTGCTCAGCAGAATCCCTTTCCAGGGTCTGGCTTTGCTCTGCCCAGATGAGCAGTGGAGTGGAGTGGAATGAGGCCAGTGGGACAGGGAGGTTCTGAGGAGTGTCCAGAAGCCGGGTTGGAGGAGATACCCAGCAAACCGAAGCGTGTCTGCTGCTGCAGAGTTTGGCAGGTGCCGAGGTTTTGGAGTGTCAGGCACCTGGCTCAGAGTCTGTGTTCTGCAGCTGTGAGCCATATGTGTGTGGTGGCTCCATGTCTAGATGCGTCTCCTGTAGTTTCAGTGGGGAATGTTTCTGCATATAGCAGTCCGATCCTAGAGGGAAATAAGCTTTGCTGCTCACCGCCAGAGGCATCCCCATAGTACCGCCGTGCAAAAAGGGTGCTTTCCCGTAGCCACGTTGAGCCGCGCTGTGGATATGGAGGTGTCTCCCAAGGGGGGATTATTGAAGTAGTGCCGTGTGTATACCACGGGGTGGGACACGTGTGGTTTATAAATCGCAGTGCGTCGTTTGTGAAGTGCCAAGTGCACTGTGGTGCTGTGTAGACAGTAATGTAACAGCTCGGTGGCCCGTATCCTGCTTGCTAGTACAGTGGCCACCCAGCTACACTCTACATTGGCTTGTTGACTAACTGAGCCTCTCGTTCTGACAGGGTCATTTTAAGTTTGGACAAAGCCCCCCAAAATGCGAGGCCCCTGAAGAGTTAAGCATGCCTCTGACACGGAGAGATGCACTTGCATTTTAGCTCCAGCTGCCTGGACAAGAATACCCTTTACGTCTAAAAGAATCAAAGCTTGGCCTTGTTTCAGGCTTCTGCCAAAGGGATGCGTATTGTGAAGCATGCAGTCAGCATTGTAGGATCAGCTGCTAAAGGACCTGCCAGATGTTTATGGTGCAGAAATGAGTAGGAAGTCCTAAGGAAATGTGCAGCATAATGGAAACCGACAAAATCTAAGAAGTCTCTTTCAGTGGAGAGTGCGTTCAAGGAAGCTCTCCAAGTAAAAGCCAAACGGCTATGTTTGCCTGGTACCGAGTTAGGGTGGGGAGGAAAGGCAGCCGGTCTCTGGGCCATGCATGCGCTTCTCAGCACCTGACCCTCTGCTTATGTGGAAGTGGCCTGGGCTCCCAATATTACTCTTGTCTTAGTGGTTTTCAGACCAGCTGGGGAGGCGGGGGGAAGGGGGGGGAGGAAGGGGAATCTGGGCTGCAGGAGACCTGCTGTATCTTGTCATAATCCCAGAATGGGAGCTCTCTGTAATGCAAATCATCCTCATAGCAAATAGCAGCAAAGGGCCTTGCCTTTCATTTTGCACTGGTGTTCTGAGCATCTGGGTGGGCCGAGGTTTTGCTGGGGTCTTTGCCTTGCCAGGGGAACAACATAATGGCTTCAGAATCCAAAGGATGAGCCAAAGGTCTGTGTGCAGAGGGTGATATTACGAGGCACCGGCAGTGCGTTCAGTGCAGAATGACAACTTATGGGCATCCCTGGCAGAGACCTAGGCGTCACCTGGCGGGAAGGCTCCCGGGATGCACTTGCTGTCATTTGTGCTGCAGGACTTGTCTATATCCATACTGA